TGCAGCGGGGGCCGCGGCGGCAGGGGGAACCCCGCCGCGGGCGAGGGTGGTGGAGACCCTGGCACATGAGGCGTCTGCTGCGGCGCAGGCGTCGGGAAGGGCCCCGCTGGGGGGCGCGCCGTGCCCGAGGCCTGCGTCTGGTACATCATCCGCTGGCCCTGGCATTGCAACTGCGCATAATCTGCGGCGCCTTGCCTGTTGAGCGCCTGGAGCTCCGCGAGCTGTTTGCTGGCGTCGGCGCTGACTGCTGCTGAGGCGTTCGCATTCTTGCGCGGCGGCGGGTCCATTGCCATGCCGTGCGTTTCCCCTGGCTGGGGAAGTATGTCCGCCAACTCCTCTGCGATTCTGCTCTCCACTTCTGCGATCGCCTTCCTTGTGTTGTCGATGTCGTAGCTTATCTCGTCCGCCTGAGACTCTGGCAGCGCGATGCGAGCCTTGGTGTTCTTCAAATCTTCCAACTTTGTGGCCAGGCGTGCCGCGTGCTCTGCTTGGACTGCGCTGAGAGGCTTCAACTGGTCCACCGCGTACTTGAGCATCGCCATCTCCTCTTTGAGTTCTTCGTCTGGTTTGCGGGCTCGCGCTGCCTGCGCCGCTAGGCGCGCGAGGACCAGCAGGCGAGTGCGAACGCGGTCTTGAAACTGAGCGTGCAGCTTGTGATCCGTCGGAGGCGTCCACTCTGCCCACGCTGGATGAGCCCCCGCATACTGCTTCAACGAAGAGACCACTCTTTCGACCAATTTGCGTGCCAACTTCTCCATACCATGGTCGTGATGGTGTCCATATGATGATCCCTCGTGGCGATGACGTCGCGGCCTGCTGCCAGGGCGGGCCTTGGCGGAGACATCCTTGTGCGCACTCTGGCCACGCTTGCGGGAGGAGCTCCTGCTAGTCCTGCGCCTCTGATTGAATGATCCGCCACACGACGAGCATGACCAGGCCCATCAAGCAACGTGCAATCCGCATGCGCATGTCCACCCTGGGGCCCTGCTGGCCATGATTTATTATTGCGGTGGTCGTCTCTGCGCACTGTTGCGCTGCGCCAGCAGCCCCGCGCGATGATGCGTGCGACTCTGCGATGACGGCGTCGTCGTTTGTGCCAGGCGGGCTCGCCGCTGCGCAGGCGCGGAGGCGCGCTGTCCCCAGATCGCGCGCCGCGGCCACGCGTGGATCTCAGCTGGTGCGGGGCGCCCGAATCCCCGGGGCACCTCCTCAGCCAAGACGCCTCTCTTCCTCCTCCTCCTCCTCCTCCTCCTCCTCCTCCTCCTCCTCCTCCTCCTCCTCCTCCTCCTCCTCCTCTTCCTCCTTCTCCATGCTTCTGCGGTTGTGCGCCTGCCGCTGCCCTCGAATCCCGAGCAGACGAGCAGCTGCGTGCCACTGCCTGATTCGTGACGCTTCGTGACGAAGGGGCATGCCCCTCCTAGCCATGCCTCTTCGCTGGCTAGGTCTGGCGGCTGGGATATTGGGACGCAGGGCCGCGGGCGCGGTTGTTCCACGCTCGCCCGATTGGCGGGCCCGCGCCGGTTGGCTCACGACATCTGACCGACCCCGACCGCAGGCCGCATGCGGTCACATGTCGCTGGGCACGTATTTCGTGGACGGCGGGTACCTGGTGCACCTGGGCTTGGACGTTCGCTTCTCAGCTGCGCTGCATTAGTCGCCTGTCCCTTTCTCGCCCGGTCGTCGCTCCCGCTCTTTTCCTCTTCCCTGTCCTCTTCCACGCTTGCCAGCTGTTGTTCAGGCTCTCTCCCTGCGCGCGCGTAGGCCTGGCTTCACTTGACTGTTGACGCCGCTCGGCTGTCCGCTAGCGGTCGGTAAACAAAAGTATCCCCACCAGCTCCCTGCTCAGCATGTGTCGTCAGTCTGCTTGTGCTTGCCTTTGCCTAGGGGCCCCTGGCCTGCCCGCTGGAGGACGCGGGGCGGCCGCAGCCCGGCCAACCCCGCTTCCTCCTCGCGCGTGGAATCCACGGGGGAGGTCCCGGAGCGGCCGCAGCCCGACTGTCCTCCGTTCTTTCTTCGCGGTGCTTGTCTCCTCCGCGCAGGCGTTCATCTGCGCGTTCTGCGCGGGACCTGGAGGCCGCTTTCTTCCACGACTGCACCCGCCGTTTTTGTTCGTCTCGTTGTCGCTTGCACCTCCCGCTGGTCCGTGCGCTGTTCTACGTCGTGGAATCCCACTGGGTCTTGTGCTACGCGTTCGGCAAGGTACTTGGGGAATCGTCGGCCCGTATCGCCCTTTTCCTTCCTGGTCACCGCCGTCCTGGGTAATTGTGGCACCCCTCTTCCTCTCTCTCTCTCTCTCTCTCTCTCTCTCTCCCTCTCTCTCTCTCTCTGCACTTGCGTCGTATTCGGCACCTTCCTGGATTAGCTCTCGACGCTGTCTGCGATGCCTCCCGCGCCATCTAGGCCGCGTCGTGCCCATCTGAGCCGGGCGCCGCGCGTTCGCTTGTTTCCCAATGCTTCGGCGTGGCCCGCGCTAGCTTTGCGCGGCTTCCGACTTGTTTCGCGAGCCCGCGTGACAAAAAGTATCCCCGCCATCCCATCCAGAGGCGAGTTCGGAGCGGGTTGCGCTGACCTGACCAGGGGTGCGTAGCGGCACGCTGACAGAAGTCAATCAGAAAGGCCTTCGCAGACCGTTCGCTCTTGGAGATGCAAGAGGCCTGATGGAGCCGTCGTGGAGTTTTTGTGGAGCCCTTCTGGGGGCCCTCGCGACGCCCTCGGGGATCTCTTGGGGGCCTCGGGGCCATGTTGGAGGTTTTCAGGCAAAACAGAGGGCGGCACGAATTAGGGTCCTCACGCTGGACGCACACTGTTGCCTCTTGAAGCATTCGTGTTTTTTCGGGGGGCTGGAGGATTGGACCCCTCTTTGGTTTTTTTGGTGTCATGAAAACGCGACAGGGTGAAACATATCGATCAGCAACAGGTTTCGCAGGGATTTGGGCCTTTCGGGGGCGTCCTTGGCATGCGGTAAATTTTCGTGACATGCGTTGGGCTTTCGTGCGCCAGCTTGGAAGCCACATTGGGGTAACCAGGGTCAACATGGAGTGATGTTGGGCCCGAAATGACAACATCCTGATACAAGGCAAATGCCTTGGTCCAGACCCCAGCGGCGGGGGTTAAGATGACGGTCGAGCCCCTCCCCTAGGGGGAGGAAGGGTGGTCGAGGAACCAGTTGGGCACGCAATTCCAATTCGATTCGTTTCGGCTCAGCAGCATCGACTGGGGTGAGCTGGAGCCAGGCGCGGCGATCCGGTTTCGATTCGATTCGAGGCGATTCGCTGGCGATGCGATCCGTGTCCGATCTTCCCCAGGTTTCGTGACTCTGTCCAGCTTGGCCCTGCTAGTGGGTTGGTGGGGTCTTCGGACGGGCACGAGTACTATGTGGAAATCCACCGTTTGGGCACCGATCTTCGGGGACCCCAACCAAAACATGTCCATATTCACTGCCCGCTGGTGCCCCACCGCGCCGGTTCCCCAGGAAGTGGATGTGGACATGTCCTTGGTCGTCCCCGGAAACGGCAGGGCACTTGTTTTGCCGTTTTCAAAGAATTGCGGCTGGAATGCGAAAGCGGGCAAACAACCCAAAATGCTCCCCGACATGGAAAACATGTTTCATGGATGGGAGCGGGCAACGGAAGCCAAAATAACGGCGACGGCCGTCCCAGGGGCCCGTCGCAGGGAGTGCGGGTAGGCGGTGGATACGGATATAATCGGGCCCCCTGGGGCTTACACACGAACGCATACATATGCATATACATATACCTATACACATACGTATACCCATACACATACCTGTACGTAAACATATACACATACATAGACATATATATGGACATGTACATGTGCATATACATGTATGCTGCATATTCTACTTGTAACATGGCACATTTAAATCATACCACGCTAGGACTGACTCGATTGTATGATATGATAAGTTCCTACCCCATTATGCAGCATTTTCCCGTATAGAATCGAACACATTTTGATTTGCGTAATATAGTATGATACAATTCAACGTAGTATGCTGTAGTAGCTTGATAGATCATGGTATATGCATGTGTATACCTACATGTATTATCGTACGCACCTCTCCCTGGGGGTAGAGCTCAGAGGCGATGAATTTAAGCCGCGTTTGTTTCTGGGGCCGTTCCGCCCGGAATCGCCTTCACAATTGTGATAGCCGTACGCGCCCCTCACGCAGATCGCGACGTCACAGTCCAAAAACACAGTTTTTAATCACCAAGTTTAACAGAACACCTTCAAGAACACAATGGAATCCAACGACTTTTACCCCGATTCTTCGACACTTGCAGTTTTGCTTGAGAAATCCTCACAAAACCGAGCCCCTTGGTCAGAGCGATCTGTACAAAAAACGGGAGTGTCGCCTGAGACATCTTCCAACATCGAGCCCCGACGTACAACACACACACACAGATAGCACACACGCAGAGAACACACGCCACACCCAACACTGGCAACACACACAACGCACACACTCACACACAACACTCGTAGAGAACACACACGCAACACCTACACGGAGACCACACAAGGGACACACGCACACATACACACACACACACACGCACGCGCGCGCACACACAGACAATCCACACCTCACACACACACACAACACGCCCAACACAAGCAACACACACACACACAACGTTCACACATACAACACACCTGACACACAGAACACGCAGAACACACATGACGCACACACAGTTCACACATAGACCACACACACAACAAGCAACACTCGCACTCAGCACACAACACACATGACACAAACCTTCCGAACCACACACACACGCACACGCACACACACACACACTAACACACACATATCCTGCATAAGTGTTTGTATGAGTCTGGGCAGGCACATGCCACTTATACATCCGTATCCACCGCCCACGAGGGTCCCAGGACCTCAGTTCCCCAGGCGGTGGATGTGGACACATCCCTGCCTTTCAGAGAGGTTGGTCGGGTGCCCCCCCTTGCAGGTAGCGGCGCCATCCGCCAGCGCCGCCACGGGGCCCGCCGACCCGCTGGCCAGGCAGTGGCTGCATGCGCCCTGCGCCGAGGCTGGTCGGTCCGTCCACTTGTGCAAACTAGCGGTGGGCCATGGTTCCACATCATTTTTACCATCATCATCACCACCATCACCATCATTTCCATCATCACCTCAATCCTCACCATCATCATCACTATCAGCATCGTAATCGTCAGCGCTATCTTCATCACCATCGTCTTCATCCTGATCAGCATCAGCATCCTCGTCGTCATCTTCATCATCATCAGCATCACCATCATCATCACTATCAGCAGCAGAAGCATCATTATACTCATAAACATCAGCAGCAGCCTCATCATCATCATCATCATCATCATCATCATCATCATCATCATAACCATCATGAGCAGCATCATCATCGCCACCACCATCATTCTCCTCATCATCATCAGCATCACCATCATCGTCATCATCATAAGCATCATCATCATCATCAGCATCATCATCATCATCATCATCATCATCACCATCATCAGCATCATCATCATCATCTTCCACGTCCTTTTCCTCACTCGAATCCTAAGTGCAGCAAGGCAGGCCCTGTCGAGGCAAGGCAAGCGGGGGAGATTGGCGAGCTCTTTCTCTCCTCCCTCCCCTCTCCCTATCCCTCTTCCGAGCACGTCTTGTGCAGAGCTCCGCGGCGAACAAGAAAACACTCCACTCTTCCTCCGACTCCCCTCCCCTCCCCACCCCGCGTTCTACATCACTTGCCCCCCCCCCTGCCCCCCCCCGTCTCCTCCCTCTTCCCACCTCCCAGCCTCCAGGTCGCCCCTGCCCCTCTGGACGGCCCGACAGTCGCCCGCGGCTTCGCGCTTTCCCTACCCCCCCGCCGCGAGGCCCTGGCGGGCACCCGCCTGCGCGTCATGCACCTCAATGCCCTGGCAGACTGCCTCGCCCGCCACGCGCCGCTGCTCGGCCGCGGACGAGGCTTCCGGTGCGACGCCGGGGCGCTGCGATGGGACCGGGCAGGGAAGCACAAGAGCCGGCGGCAGCAGCAGGGTCGGACAGCATTTGGCCAAGCAGTGGCGAAGCGTCCTGGCTCGCCTATAGGCCCACCCAAGGATGTTCTCAGAATTCTTGAGGTATCCATGAAACGTTCTTAAGACACTTCTGGTTGGGGCTATCTTGTTTTGAAATACCGGGTTTATGCTATAAGAACATTGGTTTTGTTATTAGAGCAGCTTTGGGTTCTAAAAGGTCGGTCCCTGCTCAACGGTCGGTCCCTGCTCAACTGGGGGGAGCGCTACATGCCAAGGCGTTCAGAAAGGCCTCGCCTGCGAGGATCTCAGCAGATGGCATCCCTGCTTCGGCGGAAGCCGGCGGAAGGTGGCAGAAGCACCTCGGCCGGCGGAAGCGGGCGGAAGTAAAATCTGCGCCGCCAGGAGATGTCAAGTTGTTTGGGCCCAGGAGTTCCAGAATCTACGGGCTTTGGTCGCCCAGGTCTTCGACGAGACTCCCCAGCGATTACGTGTAATGCCCGCCCCTGTGTTGTCCGCCCCTTCAGCCTCCGTCGAAAGGGGGACGCGGCAAGGGTCCAGTGTCGCGATGGGACCAGGCATGGATAGAAGGGGGGTGGGGGCAGGCAGTCCTAGGATGAGGATAGACCGCACTGGGAGCACTGAGAGCGTTCCAGAACGCTTCGAAAATCGCTCTGGAACGCAATGGAACTGTCGCAGCGCCCGATACATCCTCCACACCCACGTACTCTCAAAGATCCGTGATTTGTCTTCTTCTGAATTTCCCATCACCCTACTTGCGTCCTGGGGGCGAAGGAGGTCGAAGATGGAAACGGGGTGAGCACTAGGGTGAGGGGCGGGACAATGAACAAGAGGTCAGATTATCCGAAGTTGGCGACCACACACATGACGCCTAAGAGAGAAAGTTTGATGCGCCCCCTTGCTCCTCCATGCGCAGAGCCAATGTCAATAACTATCCCCTGCCTCCTTTTTTATGTAGTCCTTCCGCTGATGTATACATATATATATATGTATATGTATACACACATACGTACATACATACATACATACATACATACATACATACATACATACATACATACATACATACATACTTACATACATACATACATACATACATACATACATACATACATACACACATACATACATACATACATACAAACATACATACATGTATGCATGCATGCATGCATGCATGCATGCATGCATGCATACATGCATGCATACATACATACATGCATGCATGCATGCATACATACATACACACATACATACATACATACATACATACATACATACATACATACATACATCTGTACACCTCCCTGGGTTCCAGGGCTCCTTTCGATTCCTCCGATTCGATTCGATTCGACGTCGATGGATTCCGATTCCGATTCGATTCGACTTGGGCTTCCGATTTGGATTCCGATTTCTTATTGGACGCATACTAGCCTGCCGATTTCCGCCGATTCGACTTTTCCCGATTCGGCTGCCGATTTCCGCCGATCCGATTCATGTCGGTTGCCGATCCGATTTATCGATTCGATTCTGGGCTCTCCTGGGGTTTCTTCTCCTTGGAGGTGTTCTACTGGGAGGTGGAGCTGGAAGAAGAGGAGGAGGAACAAATAATGGAAATAAGGAGACAGGCAAGCTACGTGCGCCCGCGCCATATCTGACATCCCATCCCTCTCACCCATCCCTCCCTATCGCGCTGAGTTGTCTCCATCCGCCGGCGGATGTCATAGCTGACCTGGAACCCCCAAATGGACCCCATCGGGTCATTCTAAATCAGAGTGAGGGAAGTTGCGCACATTAGAGGATGATGCGGGGGATGAGGAGGAGGAAGAGGAGGACGAGGAAGAGAACAGAGGAGGACCAGGAGGTACAGCAGCAGCAGGATCAGCACCGGGAGTGGAAGGAGGGGGGGGAGAAGGATGACCGGGGGAAGGCGGGGGAGGGGAAAGGAGCGGGGCGACAACGACGAGGAAGCAGACCCAGAAACGTGGTCCGCGCTGGGGGGAGAGCGCCAGAGTGAGCGACGGGGCAAAGGGTCCATCCTGAAATGAGGCCAACGCAGAGGGAACACCATCTTCAAACACTGGGAACGTTTCGACTGAACACCAAACCAAACTAAATATCATATGATTGCTGGCGTGGACCCCAAGCAGTGCGATATTGTGTTGTGGCTGTGATAGCTATGCGGTATAAGGTGTGTGGTGCCAGCCACGCTGTGTAAGCGAAGTGGTGTGAACCATGGAGGTGTAAATTTTGCGGTGGAAACTATGTCGTGTTAGCAATGCGGTGTGAGCTGGAGGTGAAATCTATGGGGGCTGTGAGCTATATGGTGCAAGCTACGTTGTGCAAGATATGCGGCGCAACCTGTGTGGTGTAAACTGTGAGGGGTAAGCTAGGCGGTGAAAGCTGCGCCGTGCGAGCTCAAAGCACGGGGCGCCCACGAAGCACCCACGAGGCGGCATCGTGGCGCAACCTCGGAAGCCTACCCTGCGCACGGGCTGCCTGCGAGGCGACCGCGATGCGGCACGGGACGCAACGTGGCGCAGCTTCGACGTACGCCCCCCTCCCCCAAATGCTGGGGCGCCCACGTGGCGCCCGCTGGGGGGCACGGGCGGCAACGTTGCGCGGCCTCGGCCTGCCCCCCCAAGCGCAGGGGCGCCCACGAGGAGTCCACGAGGCGACACGGGCGGCAACGCTGCGCGACCCCTGCATGCCCCACAAGCGCGCCCACGAAGCGGCACGGGCGGCTACGTGGCGAAACACCGGAGCACCCAACCAAGTAGTTCAGAAATCGACGCAAGAATTCTGAAGGGCAAGCATTGCGTGGGGAACTTGCTGGAATCATGTTTGGTCGAATACCCTGGTTACCCTCACATGCATATTCATATACAAGTACGATGACACGTACATGTGTAGCTTTATTGCTTTATCCGTTCATATACAGATATACGTACACAGTTGCGCATACACCCAAGTATGTAGATGACTATATTTGAAAGAGCGTGTTCTACCGCTGCTGGCGGAAAACCGGGGGGGGTCACTACCGGTTCGAACCCCTCCCCCCCCCCTCCGGAAAACCGGGGGGGGTCACTACCGGTTCGAACCCCTCCCCCCCCCCCCCCCAGCTCATCATGAAAAGGGGGGGGGGGGTCACTAGGGGGGGGGTTCGAACCTTCGTCCCCACTACCGGTTCGAACCCCCCCCCCTCGAAAACCGAGTGGGGGTGCGGACAGTGGTGGGGACGGTGTTGGTGGGGACAGTGGTGAGGGGATAGCGGGACAGTGGTGGGGACAGTGGGACAGTGGGACAGTGGTGGGGACGGTAGTGGTGGGGACAGTGGTGGGGACAATGGTGGGAACAGGGGGGGACAGTGGACAGTGGTGGTGACGGTGGTGGTGGGGACAGTGGTGTGGGGACAATGGGAATGAGGTGGAAACAGTGGGACAGTGGAGGGTACAATGGTGGTGGGGACAGTGGTGAAGGCGGTGGCGAGGACGGCGGTGGGACAATGGGACAGAGGTACAGTGGGGACAGTGGTGGGGACAGTGGGGACAGTGGTGGGAACAGTGGGACAGCTCAGTGGGACAGCGGAGGAGTCAGTGGGACAGTGGGGACAGTGGGGATAGTCGGGCAGTGGTTGGGGCCGTGGAGACAGTGGGGAGAGTGGAACCGTGGTGGGAACAGTTCTGGGGACAGCGGGGACAGTGCGACAGTGGTGGGGGGGCCACTGGTGGGGACAGTATGGGCGGTGGTGGAACCAGTGGGGACAGCGGTGGTGAGGACAGTGGCGCTGGGAACACCAGTGGGGGATGTGATGCGGACGGTGGTGGGGACCGGGAGTCGTTTGCTGGCGGTGAGTAGGGGGGGGGGGGGGGGGGGGGGGGGGGGGGGGGGGGGGGGGTTCGAACCGGTAGTGCCCCCCCGGGGGAGGGGGGGGGGGGAGGGGTTCGAACCGGTAGTGACCCCCCCGGTTTTCGAGCGGGAGGGGGGGGGGGGGGGGGGGGTTAGGGGAGGGGGGGGTTTTGCCGGGGGAGGAGGGGGGGGGGGGGGGGGGGGTTCCAGCAGGGGGGGGGGATTTTCGGAGGGGGGGGGGGGGGGGCGACCCCGGATTCCGGAGGAAAAAGTTGGCAATTTTCCACAGTAAAGCGGCGGTGGATCGCGCTCTCTCCTATATTTGTATCGAAGACGCCTACGGCGAGTCACCGCCGCCCCCCTGCCTTTTGGAATCGCTCATGTGGCCGAGTGTTGTGGCAAGAACTATGCCAAGCTAATTGGCCATGTGTTCCCCCAGCCGTTGTAGAAACCCTTCGGGGAACAATTGGGGGAGGATGGCGGGGAAGATCATGAGGAGGAGAGAGAAGGGGCATACTGAGAGCCTCTGGGGGCACTCTTGAGGCCTCCTGGGGGCTTCCTGGGAGCGCGCTGTGACTTCATCATGGACTTGGCCCCAGGCGCAAAGCTCTGCCAACTGATGGGAATCGATTCCCTGCTTTTATGTAAACGCGTAGATGGTCGGGAATTCGGTTCGAGTTCGGCCAAAATGTCAGACCATGTGTTCCTCGAATTATCTTCGAACACCTTCGGGGAACACATCGAGGTTGAAGAGGAATGTGATGAGAGCGAAGAAAAAACATAATATAATAATAACGATAAAAAGAAGAGGAGGAGGACAAGACCTTGTGGGAGCCTCTTGAATTGTGCTTGGCCTCTCCTCGAACTTCGTAAGGATTGAAGGGGAAGGCTCGTGGGCCGTCGTGAAGTCATCGTGGAGGCCTTTGGAGCCATCCTGGCGTGATTTTCAGGGCCTCTTGGGCCGTCTTGGCCCGTCGGTGGGCCGAACAAAAGGCAGAGCCCCAAATCCTTGAAACATCGGAAACCTATGATTTGGGGCTTTTGAACCCCTGCTGGGAATTTCCTGGACAGTGGGGGCCTCCCAGGGCCCGTTTGTAAGCCTTCTGGGGCTTCTGGAGGGCCTCTTTGGCAGTCTCAGGAGCCATTCGAAGCTTCTTGAAGGCCTCTTTGACAGTCTCAGGGCGTTCCTAGCCCGTCAGACGCCGTCGG